AACCATTAATACATTTAATTATAATAATATTGTCGTGCCTAGCGGACGGAACAGAGACAAAGGCACAGACGTCAGGGTATCGGGGAATACGGGGTTTAATTACAGGTAAGGCAGGCAAAACGCGCTGTAATTCCACATGTGGTTAACGAGGGGATGTGGCACAAGGAAGGAGCGGACGATCGGGGCAGGACACATTGTTTTCTTAACTTTACACAGTGTTGGGATACATTTATTTTCTTTCTTTAAAAATTACTTTTTTGAAAAATGTGCTTAATGTGTTTAGTACAGTATATGCCCGGTTCATTTTGTGTTTAAATGCTAAAAAAACATATTTTGGTGTAATTTTTTTGGGGCCGGGAACCAATTAATTGGTTTTCCATTATTTCTTATGGGGAAAATTCGATCAGAACTTTTTAGGATTCGATCTGGAGTTCTGAACGGATTAAGTTCGAGTTATGAGGTAACACTGTATTTGCTGACCTGTTGTTACTATTCTTTGATTCTTGTTTTTGTACTTAGTTTGCATTTTCAAATGCAGATATGTCAGCGATGTTTTCAGGATGTGTGTGCCTTCGTTTAGCTCTTTCGGCTGTGCCAGTCATCAGCAAGTTAACGTGTGAATCTCCCTTGGGCCTCAGGTCTCCCCGCAGACACACTCCAGGGCCACCGCGACCGATTCCACGACCAGTTCCACAGGTAATTCTACAGCAAAGATCAGCAAAGTCACTGCAAGTGAGGCCTGTTGCGTAACACAGCCCAGAGGTTACTGGCCAGGTGCAGCTTCTGTGCAGTGAGTGAGTGAGTCCCGTTAGAAAATGAATTGGTTCATCAAGCATTTATGTGCCTATACACCCACCTGTGCTTTTCAGTGGGCTGGTGTCCCTTCCGGGGAGTCCCACTGTCCTGTGATCAGACACGCTCAGCAAATCACTGTACTAAGTGGGTACAGAAGATGCATAGGACTCTGCTGTGTCTCTCATTTTAATGATACGTATTTGGGCTTGCATATCTGCCTTTCACCTTTGACCCTGTGTGGAGTTGAAGGACAGTTTGTCTGCCTTCCAGCCTGAAGAACTTCTTCAACAAAGCCAGGGACATGATGTACTTCAAGAGGCTGATCCAGATCCCCAGGCTTCCTGATGTGAGATACGACAGCCCTGGGGCGTCTGGGACGAACCCCCGCAACTTGCACCCATTCACTCTTTCTTTTAATCCCAAAATTCGTCGTGTTTCAGTCACCCCCCAACTTCCTGCGGGCGTCGGCGCTGGCCGAGCACGTGAAGCCCGTGGTGGTGATCCCGGACGAGGAGCCGGTGGAGGAGGATGACGGCGAACCACTGGTGGAGGTCAGCGACAGCAGCCAGCCTGTCCTGCAGAGCCAGCCGCAGGTTCGCGCTCCGCTCGGGTGCTGCGGCGACACGTCCAGCCTGCCTGTTTACTGCTCTGACTGGCCAATGGCAGGTCTGCAGGTCACGGCACTATGGAAACCGCACTCATTTCACTACATAGACTTTAAACACAGCAGACATATTTGCACTTTAACTTTAACACAGGCTTCTTTACTCTGTAGTTTGATTTGTTAAGACGTCCTTTTTGTTTTGGATTTAATGGCACCTAGAAGGTATTTCTGGTAATATGCTGTTTTAAAACTTAAAAATGCTTAAAAGATATATCTGATCTGAAGATAAGAGTACATCTGTTTTATTGAGCAATTTTGTTATTGGCTGGGTCAATGCTGAGCTGTGTGTGTCTTCATTAGTGGTCTATTGTTTCCACTGATGTCTTTTTATTTAATTTATTTTTGATAGTTGGACATATTTGATCGAACGTTTGGACCCCCCAATGGCGGTTTTGATGAGAGGTAAAGATCACCGTTTGCACATTAACAGATGGATGTGTTATTGTTTATCTGAGACAGAACCTTTCTTTTAACTTGCAAATAACTAGGGCTGCCACTAATGACAATTTTGCTATGGATTAATGGATGGATCTCTCGTCCATTTTACCATTAATCTAAATTATTAATTTTACTCTAGAAATTTGATAATTGACGCCGGCTTTTTGGCATTATATGGACATTATTTTCGCCCACAATTCAATTAGCAAATCAGTAGTATGCTTAAAAAATTAATGAGGTGCATATGATGACGCCCCAAAGGTTAGTAATCTGTATAAATTCGGTGTATCTTTATACTTATTAAACTGTTAGCGGGGGACCCTGTGCTACTGTCTTGGTAAAACATGGAAGCAATAAATACTGAAGTCAAGAAAGGAACAGCTTAGCGACCACAGCATCTTTTTTAAAAGGGGGGAGATTGTGGATAAACAAGGTAAAAAGACATCGGCGGTGTGGCGGTACTTTTTGCTGATTTTTTTTTTGTTTGTTTTTTAACTTGCTTAACAGTTCTCATTTTTATTTCAGTTCACAAATTATTTTCTTATTTAGTGTCCGTTTTCATTTCCGTTTTAGTTTACAATAATCTGATCTGAACATCCCAACAGGCCCAATGCGCACAAGCATACACTGCCACCGTCAATCCGTGGAGAATAAGCCCAGAATTAAGCCTAAACATTTTCTCTAACACTTATTCAGTGGAGATTCTAATGTAGCAGGCAGACAACTTCATGGCTTTAATAATGAGTGTATTTAGCAGCTACAAGGACAAAAACATTAAAAAGCTCTCCATACTAATGGTAATTTAATAAACATGAATAGACAACACTTAGGTGGTTTTGCTTATTGTGGTGATCCAGAATAGCATCTGTACGTTTTCTCTTCAGGCGCTCCTGCACAGCACTGGTGCCCGTGTGGTATGCCATCCAGCTTTGTGTAAAACCACCTTTTTGGTTTGCGATAATTTGAACTGCTCCCACAATTTCATAGTGATATCAAGGGAAAACATTCGTTATAATGAATTGTAGCGTTTTAGAAATCATAATAAGAACATAAGAACATAAGAACTATACAAACGAGAGGAGGCCATTCGGCCCATCGAGCTCGCTTGGGGAGAACTTAACTAATAGCTCAGAGTTGTTAAAATCT